AAAGTGGCTTCGAAGCCCCCCCTGCAGCCAGGGCCCTCCACCTGGAAAGGGCCAACAGAAGGAAAAGAAGGGGGGGTTAGCTTCGGAAGCATCCCCCCTTAGGAAAGGAGAGCCCGGGCTTACCCCGGGACCAGGAGGGGAGGGGGGGGCAGCTTCCAAGCTCCCCCCCTTTAGCCAGAGACCCCCCAGCTACAAGATCCAAACGAAAGGAGAGGGGGAGGGGGGCAGCTTCGGACGCCCCCCCCGTTTAGCTACGGCCCCCAGCAACAAAAATGCCGACAGAAGGGTGGAAGGGGAGTAGCTTCGGGAGCCCCTGCCCCTTTTCCAAGGGAGGGGGGAAGCTTGAAGCTGGGGCCTCCCTTTTAGTCAGGAACGTGCGACGGGCGCGCTCTTTCGTAGGAAGTGCACACCGCGAGACCTCCCACGACCGCACGTCATTTTCGACAGTCGCGCCGACATGACCACCCCCAGGAAGTAGAGGCGGCTCCGTGTGGTAATGCGCAGGACCGCACCCTGCTGCACCCCCCAGAAACTCACGAAGGCGGCGACGATTCCGCAATTGTCAGCACCCAGGGAGGCGAGGTCCCGCTTCGATCTGAATAGGACCGCCCTTCATCGGATCCCTACGAGCTAGCGAAAATTGAAGCAGCTGCGCAGACGGAAGCACCCAGAAAGGCGAGGTTCTGCCAGGGTATGCGTAGGACCGCATTCCGTTGCACCCCCCCAGAGCTAACGAAAGTACCCAGGGAGGCGAGGTCCTGCCAGGGTACGCACACGCTGGACCCCCCCCAGAGCCCACGAAAGTGGCGGCGGTTGCACAGCTGGCAAGAGTTCGCAGCACCCCGGGAAGCGAGATTGGAGGCAGGTAGGAGGTAGGAGGCAGGAGGAGATAGGAGGAGGGAGGAGGCAGGATGAAAGGAGGCGGAGGCGGGAGAAGGAGGATGATGAGGAGGAGGAGGACAAATGAGCATCAGAGCTCTGTTCGAAACGAATACCCAGCCCCAAAGGAGGGCTGGGAAAAACGGGAGCAGCTGGCATTGCTCCGGTGTCGGCCGCCGGCGGCCCGTGCTCGGGCGCCTGGACAGTCAGGAACTGTCCAGGACCTCGCCACCGCTCGGACGCGTCCAGTCCCCGTGTCTTTTTCGATGTCGTGCAGCTACTCTTTCGTGAGCCAGTCTGCTCCTCCATGGCACTCGCCGAGAAAAGCGAAACACGTCCGAGCGATGCCGAGGGAGAAATCATCGGTCCTCCAGGTGGGGTCCAGAAGTCCAGGGACTCACGCAACGCAAAAATCGTTACGCGGGCTGCGAGGGGGGGAGAAGGATGAGGAGGAGCAGCAGCACATGCAGCAGCAGCAGCAGCAGCATCAGCATCAGCATCAGCAGCAGCAGCAGCAGCAGCAGAGGGGGGGGGGCATGAAGAGGAACCCCTCCACCTGTCCCTCCGCTCCTCCTCCTCCTCCTCCTCCTCCTTCTTCTTCTCCTTCTCTTTCTCCTTGCCCTTCTCCTCCCCTCCTCTCCACCTCCTCCTCCACCTCCTCCTCCACCTCCTCCTCCTCCTCCTCTTCCTCCTCCTCCTCCTCCTCCTCCTCCTCCTCCTCCTTCTCCTCCTCCTCCTCTCCTTCTCTCCTTCTTAGTATTCCTCCTCCTCCTCCTCCGAGAACGACGACGACTATCGTACGAACGCTTGATTGAACAAGATGCTTTAACATTATGTGCGTGTCTCCCCCTCTTGTTGTACCCGCCTTTTTAGCCCAGGAACCAACCCCATTTTGGTGGGGCTTCTTCTCATACCAGCTCCTGGGAGAAGCACTCAGCGTAGAGCGCCTGTCCTGAGCGTGGGGACGCATCTGGCCAGGGCGCGCAAGAGTACATCGCGAAGAAATGTTGTCGAGCAGGAGCTGTTGTCGCCGTAGTTGGGTATTTGCCAAAGTGATTGAATTGCGCGAGTTTGGGTGCCTCTCTGACCACGGTGTCTCGACGTAAATGCCGACAGGCCTTTCAGGCGTGAGTGGTTCAGAGCGCTTCCTTTTCCAATCCCCCTTCTTCTCCTTCAGGGAAGGGTTTATCACTGCTCCGTATGATACCGGAGAAAAGCCCAATCAGGGCTATAGGGCTAGGGGGCTATAAGGCTATAGGACTATTAAGCTACAGGGCTATCGAGCTGTAGGGCTGTAGGGCTATTGGGCTATAGGGCTATAGGGCTATAGGGCACCCCCGGGCACGCCCGGGCACCCGGGCACCCGGGCACCCTGGCACCCCCAGGCACCCGGGCACCCGGGCGTGCGGCGAAAATCGGCGGCAAACCTAACCCAACCATATGAATCCGCTAGGACCCCTGCAGAGGCAAGCTCCGATGGGGAACGTACACCCCCTCCCACACCTTCTGTCAAACAAAAACTACAGAATCAACTTTGCCCGCAAATCTGCAGCATTGCGCGGGCGCCCCGCGACCACTTCGCATCGGTGTTGTGACAAGGACGGCGGGGGTGCCGTCGTACTGCTCTCTGCGCGCAGACCAGCCATCCCTGTCAAAAGCCAATCCTGAATTCACTGTGCCTCGACATCTGGAGCATGCGCGCGCGCCCCGCGACCACCTTGCATCGGTTCTTTGACCAGGACGCCGGGGGTGCCGTCATATTGCTCGCTGCGCGCAGGCCAACCATCCCCACCCAACAATACAGGATGCACGTTGCCTCCACATCTGGAGCGTGCGCGGGCGCCCCGCGACCACTTTACATCGGTTTTTTGACCAGGACGCCGGGGGTGCCGTCATATTGCTCGCTGCGCGCAGGCCAACCATCCCTATCGAAAAGACAATACATAATGCACTTTGCCTGCACATGTGGAGCGTGCGCGGGCACCCCGCGACCACCTTGCATTGGCTTTTGACAGGGACGGCGAGAGTGCCGGCATATTGCTTAAACGTGCAGCACGTGCCGCACCTGGCGCGCCTGGCTCGCTTGGGCCTCCAGGGTGCCTGGGGTGCACCTGGAACCTGTGGCGCACATGGCATGCGTGGCGCTCCTCAGCAATATGCTGAGACTCCCTCGGGTGTTACTTCTGTGTTGGGAGGGCGAAGGGGGGGCCTCGACCCCTCCCCCTACTCCCTCGTCCTGGACCTGGACGGGGGGGGCGGGTAGTTAGAGCGTCCAAGACGGCCTCAGCGAAAAAGCATAAATCATTGCCCAAGACGCTTCAAGAGGCCCCCAGGACCGCCAAGAGGCTACCAAAGCGCCCAAACAGACCTACAAGAAGCTCTCGAGACATCCGGAGAGACTCCGAGAAGCATCCAAGAGGCCTCTGGCCTTTCTGTTCGCCCTCCTCCTTCTTTTCCTTTTCCCCATTCGCCTAATCCTCCTCCACCCTTCTACAGCCTCCTTCCTCCCACTCCCCCCCTCCTCCTCCTCCTTCTCCTCCTCTTCCTCCTCCTCCTCCTCCTGCTCCTCCTCCTCATCATCATCATCCTCCTCCGATTCCTCCCCCATCCTCCCCCTCTTGGGGTATGACGGCTTCCCACCATTTCTTCCATCTGGCCAGGGCGTCTCTAAAAAAACTGTGAATACGTATCGAGCGGGAGCCGTTGACGTCGCAGTTGAGCCTTCCAGGGCCAGGATTGTAGCCTAAGCCCGCGCTCGGACAAGACATTCGTTTCAAAAGAAGTGCAACCTGCTTCGAGGCGAGGGCGCTCGGAACCGCTTTCATAGACCACCAGTGACTATCTCTAGGAGTCGACAACGACAACGACGCACGCCGCCGCCGCCGCCGCCACCGCCGCCGCCGCCGACGACGACGACGACGAGGACGACGACGACGACGACGACGACCACAACCACGACCACGACGACGACAACGACGACGACAATCACGATGACAATCACGACAACAACCACGACACCAACAACGACCACGACCACGACCACGAGCAAGACCACGAGCACGACTACGACAGCGACCACGACCACAACGACGACCACGACGGCGACGACGACGACCACCACCCAGACCATGACCACGACAACGACCACGAGCAAGACCACGACCACGACCAAAACCACGACGACGACGACGATGGCGATGACGACAACAACGACGACGACGACAACAACGACCGCGACCACGACCACGACCACAACCAAGACCACGACGACGACGACGACGACGACGACGACGACGACGACGGCGACGACGACGACGACGACGACAACCACGACAACAACCACGACCACGACGAAAACCACGACCACGACCACGACCACGACCACGACCACGAGCAAGACCACAACCACGACCAAAACCACGACGACGATGATGGCGACGACGCCGACGACGACGACGACGACGACGACGGCCGCGACCACTGCGGCGGCGACAGCTCGGAGCAGGGCGAGTTGAGACAATGGCAACTCAAAGTCGGTCCCCAGACCCTTTAGCGGCGCGCACGAGGGGGTAGGGGGAAGGGGGAAGGCTTCTTAGGAGACGGCTGCTGCTTTGAAGGCGCGGGCCTTACATCTATAGACATGGCCCGCGCCTTCTTATTAGCAGGGGCGTTTCGAAGAAGCCTTCCCCCCTCCCCCCTAATTCCTCTGCGCGTGGCCGATCTTAGCTGGGGTTCAAACGCACCAAATTCCCTAGCTGCGTCCAACCGTGGCGACGAGGGGGCCCCCAAAGGCCAACTGCCCTTGTCTCAGCTCGCCCTCCTCTGAACCACGGTGCTGACGGCGGCGGCGGCGAGACTGCGGCGGCGACGGCGTCGACCCAGACATCCAGCGCTCAAATTTTTTCGAGGCGTGGACCCACCAAAGGCATTGGACCACTTCCATAGCGCGGGCGTTTCAGCCTGAGTCGTTTTTTGGCGGTCCCGGGGCCCGTTGAAGGGCCCCCAGAGCCCGAAAGTAGCTGAAAGCCGGCCGCTACAATTTTTTCATAACCTCGGATGTCTAGATACCACGGGGGCGGCCACGGCGGCGGCGACCGCTGGCGGCTGCATGGGGGGGGGGCCTCCCACGCCAGCGCGGCCCACGCTAAGAGCGGCAGCGCCCAGCGGGTCCGGGGCGCCGCGGCGGGCATCGTCGCCGCGCTGTGGCCGCCCTGCGGGAGGAGGAGCGCCCTCTGAGCATTGTTTCACTGATCCCTGTCCCTTCTGGCGTGGCCTTGGCCCCACTGGCCGACTTACCCACCCAGGTGGGCATATTGTTACTTGTCTTTCGCACGCACCGTCGACATGTTGGCTCAACGGTCAATTTCGATCTGATCGAACCGATTCGATATCGTGTTTGTCCCGCCGCCCGCGCGGCATCTCGTGTTTGCGAAAGCGGGTAAACCGAGGTATTTCCGGTTTTTGCCTTCGCGAGCGCGCCGCAATGTCCGGCAGCCGCTCTCCGCTGAACCTCGAGAAGGAGTTGGAGGCTGTGCTGTCCCAGTCCCCTCCACAGGGACCAAAGACCACCCCGGGAGCCGGTACTCCAGTTCGCGACCTGCTGACGGGCAATCCGTGGGAGAGGATGCAGTGGGGGGACAAAAAGGCGCGTGTCGGTCATGGCCCAGATTCACCCTTCGCACCACTGCTGGGGCAAGAGGGAGAGAAGGGAGAGGAGAGAGAGGAGGGAGATGGTTACATGCAGATGCCGGCGGATGGGGAGGAGACGACCGAAGAGAGCGGCCCTCCCTTCCGGCAGCCTGACTTTGACGCTACCGCCGCGTCCGGGTCAGGAGCCGAGCCAGTGACCATGATAGGAATCGCGGCCCTCCTGAATGAGCGTTTGGCAGAGCAGCTGGCTCCCATGACCTCGATTGTGGAGCGTCTCCGGCAAGATTTCGAGAAGTTGGACCTCAAGGTGACCACGATGGGCGAGACACTCTCGAGCCGTCTTTCGGACGTCGAGGCGAGCATGATGACCACCGAGGTCCGCGTGGACAAGTTGGAGCACTTGTGTGAGGAGTTGTCGAAGAATGCGCCCCCCTTGACTGGAGACATCGAGACCATGATCAAGGAGTGCATCTCGGACTTCATGAAGCAGGAGCCCGCCCGGGGGGTCGGGCATGCAGGCACGCAGCAGCAGCAGACAATCACAGACAAGCGCATGATCACGGCGGTGGTTGGGAATTTGGATGGGATCCCGAACCTCCCTCAGGCGTCGAAGTGGCTGGAAGAGAAGCTGGTCTCTTTGGGGGCTTCTACCCCCCTGAAGGTTTATGGGAAGGGCGCCTATGCTGGCATCGTCTTCGCGGAATTCGGCACCCCCTCGGATCGAGATCAGGCGGTGGAGCTTCTCCGGGGAGCCGGGCTCAGGAGCGGAGACAAGCAGATCTGGGCGAGTCAGGACCGCCCTGCCACCGAGAGAGCAGCGCGAAGCTTCTGCTTTGGCCTCAAGCGCCTCCTGAAGACGGACTGGGCGGTACCCTACACGATCTCGGTCACAGACGAGGCGCCATACGTAGTCACGGTGGGCGGAGAGCACGCGCTGACGGCGAGCGTCCTGTCCGGCAAGGTGCACTACGAGTGGCAAGGGGAGTGGGCCACGTGGGCTGCACTCCACGAGCATCCGAAGGTCAAAGACCTGGCCAAGAAGAGCACGGACATTGTCTCCCGCGCGATGGCGGGCATGAAGGGGCAGGCGAAAGGTGGCTCCAAGGGGAAGCCACCCCATTAGGAGACACCGCACATGAGCACAGTTTCACCCAAAGTTTCACCCGCAGTCGGCACTACTGCATGTATAAACCCACATCGTTTGATTCAACACTGCATGAGCTCCGGCGCACCGCCCGCTGGCGACGGCACTGCGGACGCACCCGGGGCGAAAGTGAACGCTAGCATCGAGGCAGATTTTTTCCGAGGAGGGCGGCTATCAGTTGCCGGCGCCGGTCTGCAGCTTGGGACGTGGAACGTGGAGGGTTTCACTGAGGCCAAACTTGTCGAGCTCCAGATGCATATGAAATCATATGGGATAGATTTACTTTGTCTCCAGGAGACACACAAGCCGAAATCGGAGTACACGGTCACCGAGGAGGGCTTCCTGTTGATCTTCTCGGGGGCGTCCGCCGACGACGTCAACGAGACGGCAGGCGTGGGATTTCTGATATCACCAAGATTGCGCCGAAGCGTCGTCGGCTTCCGGCAGGCATCTTCGAGAATGGCTTCTTTAAAGCTGAGAGTTGTTGGTGGCAAGATTCTTGTGTGCAGCGCTTACGCCCCCCATAGCGGGAAGCCGCCATCGGAGAGGCAGACATTCTTTCAAGAGTTGAACACATTTCTTGGGTCATTATCCTGTCATGGGCCAGTTTTTGTATGTGGCGATTTCAACGCGAGGCTTCACGTGCGGCGCCCAGGAGAGGAAGAAGTTCTGGGCGCACACGTATTCGGCAACCCTCGTGCGCAGCATAACCCATCTTCAAATCGTTCTTTCTTGGTCGAGCTATGCACTTCTCGGGGCCTCGCTGTTGCAAACACGCTGTTCGACGAGCCGGCGGAGAGGCGGGTCACCTAGTATGACATCGGTTCATCTCCGGCGGACCCCCCCACAGAGCAACATTTTGGCCAACTTGATTTCGTTCTCGTCAGCTCGGAATGGAGAGGCTCGGTGCAACGAGTCTGGAGCGACCGCGCCGCAGCGTTGGCATCGCACCACTTCCTTGTGCAAGCCCGTGTCTTGATCGACATCCCCCGGACAGAGCCGAGGGCCGGCAAGAAGCGGAAGGACCATTCTGTTCTGCGGGACCCGAGCGCTGCGAATTCATTTGCCGAAGCCTTTTGCGAGCAGATGGGCTCCGACAACGACGATGCTGTCGACGAGTCCGCCCAGAATTTGAATGAGCGGATGACCCAAGCATTCCTCTTCGCCGCCGACCGCGTTCTTCCTGACACGAAGCTGCTGCCCAAGAGGCCTTGGATCTCGTCGGGCACTCTTGCGCTCATCGAGAAACGCAACGCCGCTCGCGAGAGGGGGTCGCGTGAGGAAGAATGCGAGCTCGCCAGGCAAGTCCGGGAATCTGTGAAATCAGATAGGTCGCAATGGTTGGAAAGCAGCCTCGCCACAGGGGAGTGGGCGCCGATCCGGCAGCTTCGGAAAGGCGCCGCCTCGAAGCAAGGCCGGCTTGCAAACTCGAGCGGAGAAATCGTGGACTCGGACCAGCGCGCCGACACTTTGGCACAATATCTCGCCCAGGTTCAGTGGGCTGTCCGGCCGACGACAGTCGCCGAATTCACAGACAGCTTGGGTCCCACCCTACCTGTGTCGTGCGATCCCATCACCGAAGGCGAGGTGTTGGCAGCGGCTGCCAAGCTGAAGAGGGGAAAGGCAGCCGGCGCTGACGGAGTTCCAGGCGAGTTCTGGAAATCGATTTGCACTCCAGGGACCCCTGCCTGCAGGTGGGCGGTGTCTTTGTGCAGAAAGTGCTGGGAAGAACGCGTGGTCCCTGACGCTTGGCACAAGGCGCTGGTCACGGCTATCTTCAAAAAGGGCGACGTTGCAAACTGTGAAAACTATCGGCCGATTAGCTTGATTTCAATTGGGTATAAGATGTTCGCTACAATTTTTTTGAACCGTCTGAAAGCAGGCGGTGCTGAACAAAGAGTCTGGAGTACCCAGTTCGGTTTCAAGAGCAAGCACGGGACAGCGGACGCGATATTTCTCGTTCGTCGTTTACTTGAACGTACGTGGGCAGAAAAAAGCGGGCGCTTAGTCTTGCTGGCTTTGGACTGGGCGAAGGCATTTGACAGTGTTTCGCCCGAGTCGTTATGCCTCTCACTGGAGCGGTTCGGCGTTCCCACCCACTTCATACAAAACGTGCGTGCCATCTATACAGATCGTACTTTCTCTGTCCGTGACGCCGGAAAAACATCCGAAGAGCATCCGCAAGCGTTCGGCATCAGTCAGGGTTGTCCGCTCTCTCCGTTCTTATTCGCAATATTGATGACCACCTTGTTGCGCGATGCAAAAAGAGAGGCAGACCCCTATCTGAATAAGAGCATGCATGTGCACGAACTTGTTTACGCAGACGACCCACTTTTGCTAGCCACCTCCGGAGAATCAGCCGGGGCGTACATGCATGCCGTACAACATATGGGGCAACAGTACGGTTTACAGTTTAATTGGCGCAAGCTAGAAGCCTTGGCTGTAGGTACCGACGTATACATTCTCAAGCCGGACGGCACCCCGATCCCACAGAAGGGAAGCATAGTTTATTTAGGTAGTCTGATTAGCGACGACGGCAAGATAGGGTCAGAGTTGTCGCGCCGCCTAGGAGCTGCAGGTGCAGACTTTGACAAATTGGCTAGGGTATGGAGCCATTCGACTCTCACGCGGCAGAAGAAGATTCACATTTTTGAGTCTTGCGTTTTAAGTAAGCTGTTGTACTGCCTGCACACTTCGTATCTTAATAAGCAGGAAATGCGCCGTTTGGACGCATTCCAAGCGCGATGTTTGCGCAAGCTGTTGCGCATTCCCCATTCATACGTCAGCAGAGTCTCGAACGAAATCGTGCTTCAACGGGCCAACGTCCGCCCTCTTAGCAACACGCTCCTCCGTAGACAGCTTCATTTTCTTGGTCACATCGCCAGAAAGCCAGGTGACGACGCTGTGCGTTGCGCAGTGCTCCAGCCCTTTTCCTCCCTCCTCCTCCCCCCTCCCACCCAGAGAAAGAGAGGGCGCCCACGAGCAACGTGGTCCCGGGAAGTTTACAGGCACGCCTGCGAAGCAGCTGGGGGTATGGAGGCCCTTCCGGCGCTGTGGCAGGACACCATGTCTTCGGCCACGGCGTGGCGTGTCGCAGTCAGCAAGTACTGCGATACCACGTGATAGTGGCTATGTGCTCATGTGCGTTTCGTACTCAGCATTTTGCTTGCTTGCGTCGACATGTTCGCTCGGTCAGCCCGGTGCGCCCTCGTCCGCTCTGCAACGCCACGAATGCAGCAGAGCCTGGGCGTCGCGCACCATGCTCGAGGGCATTGGAGAAAAAACCCTTCGATGAGGAATCCAGGGTCTGAAAGCCGGTGGAACACCAATTGAGGCTTGGCCATGGGTATCTTCTCAGCCCTCTTCCGATAGGGAACCCTCCAGGGTCTGCAGCCTATTGGGCACACCCCTGAACGA